TACATAAACGCTGACTATACAACAGAAACCTATATATGTTCATAAACAGCTTGGTTTGTTTCTCACAATCTTAACAACAATTGAATGTTTATGCTTCGACGCACAGTTGCAGCCTATCCAAAAAAAAGATAACTTATTTACTAACGTACAATATATGTATAGGTAGGTAGTAGGTAATATAAATTATAAATAAGTGTATACACAGTGAATGTCAAACACGTTGTATACTCGTATCCACAAAGGTAAATATGGGGAGCTTTTCCCTCCCTAGGCCATCTCAAGCCCACCTAAAGGTATTTTATTCTATTTTAACATGCATGTTTTATACAGTGTACACTCTACGGGCAATAAACACAAATAAACAAATTATAAACGTAGGCAAGTTTTTTTACCTATATTTCTCGTTTAACGATATATGTTTTTTGATCAATTAAATGAAAAAAAAATTAAATTTTTAAATTTACCTGTGATTTGCTTTTATGCAAAATCATTCTGCTTTTATTTGTACACTAAAATATTCCGATTCCCTAATCTTAATAATACCAATATTTTTCTTTCAAGTTCAATCTTTTTCATTTATTGTTAACTGTTGTTCATTTTAAATAAATTAACACAGGTAAATAGGTACGTATTCATTTGATGACGGGCAGCATACAACTGGTGTAACTGAACCAGTTTTTGTCTGTCAAATAGAAAACCATTGAGATAATAAAATATAGACGAAATGTACTTACTATTTAGATATAAAAGATAAATATACACTATTATAATTATTAAAACATTTTCGATATGTATACTACATTATACATACCTAAATACGTCCATTTATGAGGGGTTATTTTTAATTTTGGTACCAGTTTTTAGTAGGTATCCAAGACGACTATTAGGAGTGTCCGCTATTAAAAGGTTATAATACCTATTATGTGTATATATTTTTTTATTTTTTATAGTTTAAAAATGTCCACCATTGAGGTGAGATGTGTCTATCGATAGAGATTTCACGGTACCCATTCAAATTGACCGAGCACCACCATATTTTTGTTTATTTAAAATTTAAATTAATTACATGGTTTAGGTACAATGGATAGGTTACTCACCCACACACATACAGTAATACAGAGTGAATAATAATACGAGTTGTACGAGGTCTTCTCGAGATGAAGAATTCTTATAGGTGTTTAGGAAAAAACAATAATATTATTGTGTGAAATGTGAATTACCTATAAGTATAATGTTATACATAATCATTTTTTTTATAACTTGATCTAATTTGCGTACCTAATAATTATTGAAACATTTCTGTTCTTGATGTTATTGCATATTTATCTAAGTGGCCCGAAAATATAACATTTCAAATATTTGTGTTGGTCAACGCTGTAATATAGGTACCTAACACCTAGGTACGTCAATATAGGTAGGTATATTATATATCTATATATACACTTACAAGTCTTTATCATCATAACTCGTAGGACATATCATACGATTTTAAATTATATAAAAATCATAATATTTGAAAACATGGTCCCTGTTGTCATGTTATTACAATTATTTCATCGCTTTTATACTATATATTAGGTACTAACTATTAGGTAAGACCTATAAATAAATATCTTATATTAATAGATATATAGTCACTAGTCAGCCACAACAGATAAACATTTCCTGGCTACTGGGAAGTGGGAACACAGCCTATAAGCCACTAAAGTCTAAATGTATCAACAAATTTAATTATTATTACTAAGAGGATGCTTTACCAGCATGCGTTACAAACGTACATGGTAAATTTGCTTTAAGTAGAACTATGATTTTGTGCTATCGACTTCACCTATTATCAGACTCAAAAGTCAAAAGTAAGAATATAGTCTAGGACATCTCCAAGGGTATTTATTACTCTTATATCATTTTAAAGTGAGTTTTAGGTATGTAAATGCCCTAGATTATATTGTTACCTTTAAGTTTGATGACACGTAGATTTACTCTGACATTAAAGCTAACAAATTAATTTTACTGACCGCCAATTTTCAATGGTATGCGTTACTGCGCTAGTAAAATCCGGCGAACATGACGGACGGGCTTAGCATCGTCTTAATACCGATCGAGGAGAAATTCATATAACAAAATAAAAATAGGTAATGAATAAATATAAATTAACAATGTTTTTGATAAAGAGGGATACAATGAGTACATATATCTTATTAGTTATTAGAATCACAGTTCACAAGAATCAAATCATGAGCAGCTATCGTTTGCGCATCGTTTGTTTACCCACTTCAATATAGATACATTATGTACAGGCGTACAGTAGAGATGTAAACATGATTTCTACGAAGACAACATAATTTGTTTAATCCAACTACTTCATTCATGTTATAATGTTCATATATCATGTGCCTATATTACTATTAGTACAACCATTAATTATAAATGTAGTATACTGTATAACATTTGAAATATTAATAATTAGTGTTTAATATACCTATATAACTTTAATAAGACTGCCAAGATCAGATACATAATGTCATAAAATCAAGATGCACTCGCCACATGATAAATCTGACTGCTGACTACTTCAGTCTACGGATGGTTATTAAATTCTTGAATTATTTTCTTCTTCAATTTTTTCATGGTACCAAATTTTCAACCAATACAATATCTATATAGAACTCTGATGCCTGGTGATATTACAATTAAAAATTATATTTTGTATAATAAAATAACAACTGAAAATCATTAAAACTATAGTCAGAATTTCTCTGGAATATATTAGGAAAAATCTGTAACTAAAATTAGGATTTAAGAAATTAAGTTATAAAAATCCAAATCATTACCACAAAGCTATCAAGTTTAAGTTTTTATATTTAAAAACAATCAATACATCATTTAACGCCATGGTCTACACCAGTGGCATATTTAAGATTTTTCTGAGAGGAGATCACTAAAATTGTCAATATTAAACGTTTCAGAATTGTGATACAAATTAAGTGGTAAATAGAAAAACAATTACATATAAATATAAGCTAAAAAGGAGGGGGGGAAGGTTCAAGGAGTGAGATACATCTCCCTAATCCCACCCTAGCCATAAATACACCGCTGTCTACACAAGTTATTAATATTAATAGTTATAAAACTTAAGAAAGAATAGAATTTTATATGTTGTCTCCGATACACACGTGTTACATAGCAATTATAAGCAATAGATTCTTACCACAGTATTTATTTTCAATATTAGAGCATATATACAAATCATTGCAATTGTAGAGGAGTAGAGTTTTTTCTTATATATTTATTTTAAGAGATATGAATTTGGAAAAAAGAATTGTTTAAGTACCTACTTATAACTCATAAATAAAAATATAAAAACAAAAACTATTTGCTTGAGTAAAGTCTACATTAAGTCAATAAATTTGTCAACAAACAGTAAAATGTTTAAAATATTGACAATAAATAAATTGTAAAAATAATTCAATTAGAATATTTGCAATATTACTACGCTTGCAAAAAATAGAGATGACACATGTGGGTATTACATCACCTTAATCATAATACATCAGTTGTTTATTTTTTCATGTTTCATAAAATTAACAATCCTAATTATAAAAATATATTCCCCAAGATAATAAAAAACATTCATTTATAAAAAGAACAATAAATTATATAAGTATACACAAAAGTATAATGGGAGTTTTTCTCTCAAAGTTAATACGCAATAAAAACAAAAAAATCTAACAAACCAAGATCAAAACAATAAGTAAAAAACAATTACAATATTTATTTTTTTTAATCAATATTATAACAGTACTTTTTAAAACTTTTCCAATGCTAACAATATCTTGGTATTCACTACAAAATAAATAATTTGATTACACACTATTACAAATTAAATAATTTTTAAACATAAAATTAAACTATAATAAGGTATAAATAATATGAAAAATTGCACATATAATTTGATTTTATAATTATAAAAACACGAGGGAAATAGTTAAAACTTTTAACATATAATAAGATTACTTATTCTTTTAAAATATATCATCAATGTTTAGCAGTACTACATGAACATATATACATGTCTCAGAAAAAGGTACTAAATCTCACTTAAAAAATTTAAATATTTAATAAACAGTCTTTAATTTTAAATACATACAATTCAGAAAAATATTTTGACAATAAAATATCTATAATTTATTCTTTAATAATATTTCATCATAAAAATAACGTTTATAATTTCATTGACAATTCTAGATTTCAATTAAAATTTAATTTTGTTTCTTAAATTAGAGGTTCCCAACCTTTGAATTATACGATTCATTTAAAAAAATGTACAAATGTATAAAAAATGTATTTCATCGATTTTAGAGACACAGCAGTCTAATACTTATTGTTAAAATGAAGTCTAAGTAAACAAAAAATCATTTTAAATAAATGAGGTATTGTGAAAAGTTATCAAATGTAAGCTATAATTAAACTACATCACATAAAATGAATGAATATGAAAATTGTTGCACATATTATACTAAAATGGTCTTTAAAATCAAAAATAAATTGAAATGCTATACTTAGCGATTAAAATCGAATTATAGTACCAACTTTCTATACACACATATATATATAACAATAAAAATCTATCAAAGAAACAACAGTTTTAATATCATACAATAAATAAACCTGTGTAAGATAAACTTATATCTTCTCCATTCAAATTAAAATACTAAATTGTTTTAATACACAATATAAAAATAATTAAATTGTAAACATATAACATTTTATATTTAATTAGTCATTTAAATTTACATTCTTATTATTTATTTACTAATTCAACGAACATGATGCTATGATGCCCAATAGAATGGTAAGACATAATTAATACTAAAATATCTTGATAATAAGATGCAACATCAAGATTTATTATTTTTGTCATTTGTACATAATATACAAATGACAAAAAAATTTTTAGCATTTTTTTATTACTCAATTTTAGGATTTAAAAACCAGTTTTTTAATATATTTATTTAATACAGACTCAGAGTCTTATTGAAATTTAAACATTAATATTCAGTACATAGTAATATAATTGATCAATAACCAGCCAGGCAAAGTCTAGGTTTTTTATTATCCAACACTGTAATAATAAAGACTAATGCCAGAAATTTAAAATACAAATTTTAACAATCTAATGGCCCATATTACATATAATAACCATGGTCAGTCATGAAATATTGGTTAAACAAGTATTTATTTAAATTTTTTTTAAATAGTTTTAAAGCTATGGATAATGGTCACAATTTCATTGTTACAAAATTAAAAAAACCAAGGTCTTGTCAGCTGGTTATAAACTGATTTATAAATATTTTCAATATCTTATTTTAAACCTTGCTTGATTTCTATTTGTTTTTTGTTTAAAATATATTTTTTTTAAATTAGATTTGTATAATGTTGGTTGTTGTATTAGTTGTTAGACTTATTAATAGTTAATTACAGACATACTTTTACAAAAATATAACTTTAGCTTTATTATGCTTATACATTTAAAACATCAGAATCAAAATAGAAAACAAGAAAGTAATTTGAGCTACTCCCATGAAAACATTACACTTTTAAATTAACTAAGAATATATTAACTCATCTAAATGTTTTAAATACTGTAAACGGTAATATTATACTTAGATTCACCTAATTTAAGATATGTAAGGTAATTTAAAGCTAAAATATATACTTAAAATTAAAACTGTTTGTACATACAATATATTGTGCGTATACTGAATTTATCACAGTTAAAAAATTTCAATTTGGCATAAGATCATTGGTTTCGTTTCATAACTTAATGGAAAACTGTATATTTTATTTACCTTGTGATTTTCTGAAATAATAAAACAATTATTAATATTAAATACATTTTAGGTTTTAACTATAAAATTAATTTTAAAAAATATAGAAATTTTCATTATTAAATACCTTATTGGAAGACGACTCAAAGGTTTATTTTTAGAAGTTTTATCTAATGATTCGTCAGACAACGATTTTTCAGTTTTTATTTCTGACAAGACAATTTGATTTCCATCTACATAACAAGATTGCGGTCTTTTTGTTGCAAACTTTAAAAGGTTACCATTTGCATCTTTTTTTATATCAACATTGATGCAGGACATCGTAGGTACACTAAGTCTTTTCCCACGAAAATTGATATTTCTCTTAGCAATATTTGTTGAGCGAGTTACCACATGTTCACTATTTTCATGTCTCTTTTGTGATCGGTATGCAGGTGAGAGTGTTCTATCTTTTTTTACTGGCAAATAAGATATCTTTTGCTCTTTAAGTGATCTACTATTTTGTGGGTCAATAACTATTTGATGTACAGGTGTAGGTATTTTTGACGAATGTTCCATCATTTTATTAATGGAAACACCAGTGTCTTTGATGAACTCAGATTCCAACATACTAAAAATATAATAAAATTATTTTATATCAATTTTTAAGATATGATTCAATATAACACCCAAACTGATAAGTTTACTAATATCTTTCTTAAATTTTAAAAGTCATCTTACCAGTAATCTAAAAAAATTTCATATAAATATTGTATTAATTATCCATAACAATTCTATTCGACAAATGACGAGAATAGCAATTATAAATCCTTTAATCTTATTTGGGATGTTAAATTAATCGCTACTATATGATACTGTTTTTAATATTATAGTAAAATATAATTTGATTTGAAGATTATTGTTCAAAATATGTATTGGGCTTGTATCATTATTCAATAAATAAATAAATAAAATAAATAATATTTTTATTTTTAAGATCATATACTTTTTTAAATGAATTATTTTAAGTTGATTAATATAAATAACTTGAAATATCAAAGATTTACTACAGTTTAGCTTTAGTTTATAATTTAAATTTTATCAAACTATTTTTTTTTTAAATAACCAAAACATTTTTTACTCAAAAAGCTAATTAAAATGTTCAAAAGTTTAAGAACTTTGATAGCGACATTTAATCAAACATAGTATAACATTAACTATGTAATAATAAATACTTTAGAATATAAATGTATATTTTATATAATAAAAAATAATTATAACTAAACACATTTATTAAATTGCTTATTTACTTACAATGACTTTTTACCAATCACAGTAACTTTTTCATCTTCATTTGGAGTTCTTGAACCTGTGAAAAAAAATATTCAATAAATGAACATAATACACTATAAATTACAATTAAAATTACTCACAATCATCTATTTGGCTAGAAAACATCTTTTCTTCAATCAAACTTCTTAAGAACACACCACCATTGTCCAGTTGAATACGTTCAGATGATTTCAAAAGCAATAAACGAGATTCTTCATTAAATTTGATTATATCTTCATCAGTTTCTATATATTCGGACATTCTCTTACCCTAAAAATCATATTACTTTTATTATACTGAAAACAACAAATCAAAAATTGGTTCTTCTGAATGCAAATTTACTATATTAAGGAGAAAATGAATAGTGCGTCAACATCCTTTAAAAAAATGTTGATATTATGAAAAAATTATCATTATTATATTATTGTATAGTTATAATGCATTATTAATATGATTATTTTAGATTGTATTATTATAATTTATTTATCAATATCTAACAATAATGAAGACATCATCATCTATGTATTCCTAACTAAACTATGCTATGCCATGTTTTAATAAAATACCATCATCAACTTATAAACTCTAACTACAACCACTTTTCAACTTTTACAAGACATAATTACAAAGATATCTTTAATATATTTATTCCTGTCACTAAATCTGTGATATTAATAAAGATTTCAATAATAAATATATTTAAACAAATTAATATAATTACCTGTATAATATGACTAATAGTAGTATTACAATATTCTAAAAGTGGGCGTTGTTCTTGGACAGTGCGATCTCCATCAATTAAAAGTTTGTTTATAGCATCAATCAATTTATCAACCAAAAGTTTTTCGTTCGAAACATTTAATATATTTACTATGCTGGACATCATATTACATAAACTATATCTAATATTTGCGACCTTATCATCTGAAATAAATAAAATAACATAGGTTATAATTAGAAAATTCATTCTATTTCATAAAAATGTTTGGATTATTAATTAATCATCCACTGTTATTAGAAATGAAAAATAATACAATTACACAATCAGTTTTAATTACTTAAACATTTACATTGTATCATTATTTTAAGTCAAACAAGAATGTAATGCAAGTTCACAAATAATGTGCTGTGGACTACTACATAATTCCTGACACTAAGACTCTTCTTTGCAATATGTCAGTTTATTGGGAATTTTATGTTAAGTTTTTTTCCATACATTCAGCAGATTTTTTAATTAAATTTTATAGTCTCTAAAATAGCTAATACATTTTGATTATTTTAATAATAGCCTATTTATATTGAAATATAAATAATAATAGCATTATAATAGTATATTATATCAATAAAAGTAATTATTAATTGTAAATTATATATCTTACAAAATTAAAAATAATTATTTAATATTTTGTAGAATATGAACAACATATTTTTATGTTATAATAGATTTAAACTTAGCAGTTTGTAAAATTTACATTTCTCAATATACAAAACATAAATGATATATTAGCTAATGCAATTATTAAAGAACCAATACACTCTGTTTAATGCTTATATGATTTAAAAATAACAATAATACCATAATAATAATAAATAACGTACCTGCTAAAGTTAGTAAAGGCAAGAAAAAATGTCTTTTAAAATAAGCTGTAGAAAATATATTCAAAGCTTCTTGACAAATAAATATGTAAAATGACCTTTTATAGAAATTTGGATTTTGAACAGTACCTGAAAAAAAAAAAAAGTAAATTATGACAATGAACAACATAAAAAATATTAAAATTCAAGTAATCTACTAGTAGTTAATGGACATTTATATTTTTTGAAGTAGTATATCCAGTGGTGTATTGAAGGGTATACGCAGGTATACAACGTATACCCAGATCCTTATTTTTAGATTTATGCAAATACCTATAAGAAAATTCATTTATTATGGGTATACACCAATTGAAAATGCATGCATTATATAGATATGCTTAAGCTTCTAGTTTATCTTCAGTCATGAGTAATATCAGAGTATAAAATAAATAACAATAATGTTTAATTATTATTTTATTATGAACACTATTACATTGTCCAAAAATAGCCTCAACCCTGTATGAAGTTCGGAATTTAGAAACTGCCGAGCCTGTATACTGTTTAGTGTAAATATTAAGTATTAGCAACAATATTATAGAAGTTTAAAATGTATGCATCCATAGTGAATATTCCACTGAATTTTAAACTGTAAGAATACTACTCACATTCAAACCAAATCTACCTGTTTACATCCTGTTCATCATTAAAATCCCAATTTTGGTTAACATAAAAAAAATTCACAATAATGCAAATATTTGTTGGATAAAGTAAATAAATTTATAAATTATAAAAAATTAATTACCAAAATAAAATTACAAAGCTGTGCTGGTTATAAGTTCTTTATACGTTGATACATGTACATGATGTTAAGAGAGTATTTGTAATAAAAGATAAAGGTTATTTAATAGCAAATACATATACTGTTTTTTATAAGAGTTAAGATATTTTGAGCGAGGTGAAAAACATTTTTAAGGTATACCTATTCAACTACTTTTAAGCGCGTATACCCATACATTTATTTACTAATGCACTACTGAATATATCTATATTTTAATATTGTAAAGCTTAAAAGATTGTAAACTTGAATATGCTAATTTCAGAAACTAGTAGAATTATTACAATAAAATGTATATCGATAAATTATTTGGGATTGCTTTAAGTTTTTTCCTTCATGGTATAGGATGATGCAGACATGAATTTTGTTTTGGATAACTAAAATAGAATAATTGATTGTTTTTATGTATGGAAGAAAAAAAATAGTATCAACTAACTGACTGTCGTTATACTTTATTTTGGGATTTTTTTAAAATAAAATAAATTAATAAATTTGTTATTTAAACATAAAATAAAATGTGATATCCTTACTCCTATGTTTATAGCTTATAGTCTTAAAAACTACACAACATATTTAAGTAAGCTTCAGCAATTGTTCTTAGTGATATCAGGAAAGTTATAGAAATAGTATGAACCACATGCAAAAATATATCAAGTGCTATATCCAATCTCTGTCAAATTAGATCACAAATAATAGGGTTCAATGTTTTTCTTGTGAACTAAAATACACTAAAACCAAGATAGCAGCATACTTTGTGTTTGTTAATTTTTTTTTTAAATTAAAGTTGGGCTAGAAAGCTAGTATAAATGAATTATCTCCAATAAATTAAAATTGTTTCAAAAATATTTTGAATTTGTAAGTATAATAGTTTAAAATTCATGAAATAAAACAATAAAAATATATAAAATTTAAAAAAAAAATGTACATTTGTAGCGTTTTAATATACGAGTACACTCAAAAATAGTAAATATGCAAAATAAAGTTTTATAGAATATGGTAGTATGTATTCAGGAACTATAGGTAATTAATCTAAGTCTAGAATGTAAATATGACAGTTCCAACACGTCTTAAAGTAAAATGTGTTAAACATTTTTTTTTTAAATAATCAAATTAATGGAAATAAATAGAATAAACTATCCAATGCGGACAACATTAACAACCAACCAATAGTGTATCTAATATTGAAAAATCAAAATACACGTTTTCTTACGCATATTTATATTGATTATTAGTTATATTGTATAAAAATATATCCAAAACTAACACAAGCAACAGTAATTAGGTATACATTTCCAAAATAAGATATTTTATATATCAGGAAAGTATGAAAAAAATGTATCTTATATTCAATCTTATATTCAACTCACCAAAAAAAAATAAATATTTACTTACATTTCTGAGCCCTGGTCATTATTAATTAATTACAGAGTGCTTCTATTATAATGAACTACTCATTATTTCAAAATCTAATGGTTTTTGAGAATATTTTTTTTTTTTTACATTATTTCAGTTGAAATAAAACAACATAATTTAAAAGAATTAATATTTATCATTATATTTCAATTTTTACTATTTTGAATAACAATATATTTCACAATATTTTGATTCATAAAAATAAAAATTAGGATGAGCAGTTTATGAGTTACAAATATTTAATGTTTAGATGAGCTGAGAGGAGTTTTACAGGGATGTCTCCACAAAATATTAGTCTACTACTCTGCTCATCTCAAAATATATATAACTTATAAATTATATCGAAATACTCAGAAAAATTTTCTAATACAGAATATGATGAAATTAAAATTGTATGATGTCATTTAAAACATTTTTTATTGTTGTTTTATTTCAAATGGAAACTATGTAAAAATAATATTTTTGAAAGTTTGTAGATTTTGAAATAACAAGTGGTTCATAATAGAAAAATCACATTGTATTAAAATTTATTATTTTCTGTATTAACTATTATCTACTACAAATTAATTATAATCTTATGCTACGTTAAAATAAAGCTATTGGCTATTTGAATTCATTAATTAAATATATTATTATTTCTATTGTATAATGATTAAAGGTAATAAAATATTATATTTAGATAATTACGATTAATGAGATGTTCACGTAGTAGTGTTCTTTGACTATCATCTAAATTATAACGTAAAATTGTCAACAACAATGTGCAAACGGCTTCTTTAATTGGTTTTTGCCTCTTTAAAAAAATAAATAAAAATAGATAAATTATTAAAAATACACAGATAAAATAATAAATATATTACTTACAACACATTCCAATCGATTGAGCATTACTTTTCCAACATAAAATACTTGATCAGATGTGTAACATGTGGGTAAAACCATTACTTGGTGCAAGAACTCTACATACAATCTCCAATTGTACTGGGCAAATAAATATTCTTCTAAGAGCATCAGTGATTTTAAAACTTGTTCTTGATATTTCTTTAAAATAAAATTACTGATGAGTTTACATGTAGTAAATTTAATTTAAATTAATAAAATTATGTTTCTAATTACCATTTTTGTAATCATAAAGCTTAAATTAGGAATCATTACTTTTAAAACTTTTATATCTCTCTCAGATAACATTTTCATTAGCACTGGAGAAATCAATACCACTTTATCGTTTAAGGATATCAAAACCTAAAAAAATATATAAATAATAAGTAATGTAATAACAATTTCAATTTTAAGAAAATGTAAAAGTTTATCTAAATAAACTACTTACTTCTTTGATAATACCAACCAAAGCTATTCTTATCTCTACATAATCTTCCGAAATCAAATCAACCAAGTGATTGATAAGATAAATTAACAAGGTTGTACTACCCTTATCTGATGAACTTAAATGAATGATTTCTGTTAGATTGATAGCACAGAGTTTTTGAATAGTCAAATATGGCTTATCACAAATGGTATGATCCTGTTGATGTAAATATATGATATAAGTGATTAAAATAAATATTAATACTTGTATTTGAAATAATTTTTAGTTTTTATAAGTATTTATAATTGAACTAAATTTATTAGTTCTTGAATTGTATAATAATGTAGGTAGTTTGTTTATTACTCAACATAATTAATTTAACACATTTTTTATTACAATACTAAGTGCAATATACATAACTCATTTATAAAATTAAAATAACCCTCATGGTAATTAATGAGATTAAATTACCTTCAGAAATGATAAACATAATAATACCGATTTAAAACAATTTAAAATACAACATACTATGTCATAAGCATGAATTATAATAACAATAAAAAAAAAAAAAAATGTAACTTACATTAGTACTAAACTCAGTTTTGCAATCAATTTTCAGTAAATCTGTATACTTGTTGATAAACCAAGATACTTCTTCAAAACTTAAATAATCTACAAAGGAAAACATAATTATTAACATGAAAACAAGGTTATCAATTAAATAATTTTATCGATTTTTAGCATTAGAAACTTTAAAAAACTAAATATAAATTTGTAAACAAAGTTAAGCAGACAAGAAAAATTATTAAAGTAATTAATTATTAATTTAATTTTATTTATTTTTTAATGATGTTCAACAACAAATTTTATTAACCAATTTATTTGAAATAATAACAAATATTTTTATTATTGAATTTTTTTTTTTTTATAAAAAACAATAGAGTTCATGATGGTTACATATTTCCTTAATATTCTTTAATAATATACAAAACAATTAAAAAAATATATTTCATACTTAATTTTCAATGAAAGTTTTGTTTATAAATATTAATTAAAAATTAAATAAGAAATATTTATAACTTTGTTTACATACATTTTAAAAATAAAAATATATCTTACCTTTAAGGGCTTTACAAATGGTACCAAAATTCTTGGCAATGGCCACCACTAGAAAATTACTTTTATTAAAATCTGTGTCAATTAATTTTTTAACCATTGGCACCACAACTGTGACAATTATTTCTCTGGAAAAGCATGGTATTATGTCTACAATGACATCGAGCAGGGCAACTTTGACACCATAATCAGCATTATTAGCTAAATCCACAATTGCTGGCAGCAAAATACAGTCTTTTGAACTTTCTGTATTGTCTTTAAGAAATGCACTCACTTTACTTAACTCTTGGCAAACTGTTTTTCTTACTTGAACACTTTCGTCTTGACAAAGTGATAAAATACATGGCCATATTTCACGTTTAATACTAAAAACACAAAATGCATTTAAAAAATAATATTAAAGGAAAAATCAATAATTTAAACAGGTAACTTACACATATGCATTTAATTTAGGGGCAATTGATCCGAAAATTCTGCAACTAATTAAACGCAATGATTCAGGCCTGGAAAGATCACTTCTTTCAATAGCAAATGGTAAAATCTGATAACATTGATATGATATTAGAATACAAAATCATTAAGAATGTCCAATTTCAATATGTTACCTCTCTTTGTAAACAGTCAACAGGTAAGAACTCAATAAAATCCAGCAGCGTGTCTAACCATGTATTGATAACACCTAAAATTAATGAAAAATTAAAACATTGAAACTATCATGAACTATCAAGATTTTAGTTCTTAAACTAACTATTAATTCTATACAACTCACTATTGTTATTGGCGGTATGATTATCCAACGCAGTGAGAATAGTGGTCAAAAACGTCTGTTGGAACAAATCGGTCGTGAGCAGCTGCCTTTTCAAAATGTTCCTCACCGTTTCGGTCGCTTCATAATGGTAATCGGCCGAGTCCTTCGCGTCATTCTGAAAACGCCGTCAACAAACAAGTCATTGGTTTGCAAACACGAATACGTACGTCTAACATAAAAACCTGAGGAAAGATCAATACGTACATCTTGCATCATACGGAAGGTTGATAATATACATAGCTCGGTGTCTCTCGTGCACTGCGGTTACGACCTAGTCTTATTCCGTTTCACCTTTTGGCGACTACAGTTTGGTCCGTCGAGTGATATCGAGCTGGTATCCCAGTGCCCTCGTACAACCTGTCGAAAAATCAAATTCCGACCGGATCGAACGCCGAAAAAACGCGTGAAGACGACGGACGAACGATCGACGACAACGACGAACGCGTTGACACGGCGTGTGTAGGTGGTATACAGCGGTCGTACGCAAGCGAGTGCGTGCGTGTGCGTGCAGGTGTAGGTATGGCGTCTGCAGTACGAGTGGTAAGATGTTTATTTCTGGAATGACTCACGTTGCGGTTAAATAACGGAAGCGGTGATGCTGCTGCCGGTGTCGGCGGACGGGTGGGGAAGAAGAAACAACGAACATTTATTACACGTCTGCGAGATGGGTGACACATACCACCGCCGTCGCCTCGGCAAAGCCAACAGCCACACACACATCTTACTGCACTACTGCGGCTCGCAAGACGGACGTGTTATTATATTATTATTATTATTATTATTACTATTATTGTGTAGGTGACTATTTTCTGTTAATACGATAACACAGTGATAACGTACATCATTATCGTGATAACAAACCGTCGACGCTTATCGAGGTGCGGTTATTAGCGCTACTGGTGTTACCTATATTACTACATATATTATTATTATTGTTATTGTTACTGTACACGGTTTACAGCGGCGATGTTAAATGTTAATGTACCGTGTACGGCTGTACGCGGCACTATACCGATACACCTACCTATTATTTCCTAATGTCCTATTGTCCTATAACTTACTTCACAAATCGCGTATAGTTATTAATCTTTGTTTAATGCACTTAAATTTAGTCAACACCCATGGTATGTAGGTACCATTATCGTAGTAATGCAATATTATTATGAAGTACGTGACATCAATTTCAATATGTACATTATGCAGTCGACCAGTGGCCGCGCGAAATTGTTTGACAATGAAACGGAGCCCGAAACGTCAGAAACGACTTCATCTGTGTGACTGTGTTGGTACCTATATTAATATTAATTACCCATCATCAAAATCGTGTAAATATGTAATTCAGACTAATATTTTATTACACCCATCGAATACAAATACAAAATACATAACAGTAAACATTGACACAAATCACAATGTTACATCTTATAACTCATAACACTTTCTCAGTACCCGCCATCACCGCGTTTTAGTTGTGAGACGATCGTCTAGCAAATCGCAATAAACCACTGGGGGGCACTGAGTCACGGTGTATATATAAACCACTGATTATTATTTATAATTAATAATTGTGTTTATATTCTATGATGTTAGCAAAGTACTTTGTGTACTAAGTCTTCAATGTATTAAATTTGAACAAGAGAAAATTTGTACAAATGTTAGTCTGTTAGTGGCACTATAATGTTATGTATAATATATTACGACAATGCGTAACAAGTGTAGATTTTATGTAAATAAAGAATAGCAAAACGAATAATTGAATAAAATAATAATTTTTTAATGAGAACCACGGATTCGTAATTTTGATATTAGCGATGAAATATTTGGTAAATAATTATATATAATTATTTTATAAATAATATTATAATACCTATTTTAAACACAAGTAAGAATATTTATTTTTAATCTTCCGTTCTACCACCGTGCGGCCCTTCCGCGTACCACTATGTAGTCATTCGCTTACCACAGTTTGAGAACCATTGGTCTATACCATTTAAGTGCGAGTGCCCACTATGCCAGTAGTCACTATACTTATAAATTATTATTATTACTCACTATTCCCAGCGGTTCCCAAACTGTGCACCGCGGTGCCCTGGGGCACCGCCAGTACTTTCTAGGGGCACCGTGGTCCACGTTTCATTGGTTCTCAATGAGTACTTTTTTTGTTCTATCTTTCATGTTATATACAGCAGGGCACCGTGGTTAACATGGTGCCCCTAAAAGGGCACCGCGTTCAAAAAAGTTTGGGAACCGCTGCAATAGACTATTTTAGATTCTGAGCGGAGCAATGTTTGAAATTGATTTTATAATAATGTGGTTTTTTTTTTGTGTATTTATAAGTATTAAGTACCTACACAAAAAGTTGTCAATATGATGCATCCATTTTTAAAAAATGGAAATGGTTTTAAATATCAAATTATATCTAAATTATATTTAGGAGATGTCAAACTTAAAGTTTCCCAGCACTTATTTTTATAATTGGGAAAAACAAGCAAAATATTAAGGGAAAAACAGAATACTTTACGTAAATCCAATTTTTGACAAAATTGATTTTGTTTTTTTTTTTATGGAACTTGAAAATAAATAACGATAAATACTAGAAATTCTTAAAATATTTCTAATATTTTTAAGCTATTTATAGACATAAGAAATTATTTCTCATAGACATTTAAACAATAAATAACGGTATGTTAATTATTTTGTCTTAAAATATTATTTATTTATAAGTACCATAAATCTACTTTTACTATTTTACGGTATTTATAAAAATATATTATTAAATTTCAAATTATTTAAGTTGTTTTAAGTAACATGGTATAAATATATATTATTTTAATAATTAAATATTAATAATATAATACAATATTAAAAAACTATATATATCAATCTAATACAACATTAAAAGTAAAATTAATGATTTTAATGTCATAAAATCATTATCACTTAGTGATATAGACTGATACACAGTTTCCGCTCAGAATTGTTTTTTCGTATTCAAATTTTAATAGACCTATGATAGTGACTAACTCAAACTTAATGTATAGCAGAGAGATATTCTTTTACCTACCTTTTTTTTTTTTAATTTTAAAACACTGAAGTTCACCGAGTTCATGAGATTATCGAAACAAAATAAATGTGTAAATATTAACTATTCAAACTGGTATTAAAAAGTCATAATTTTGGACTGAAAAAAATACAAAGTACGTGTTTTTATGCTTTATATATTATCACAACATCACATTCAAAAAATAAATTATGAACTGAAAAATTGCATATATAAATATCCATTAGTCTTTGTCTTCTCACAATAAAGTTTTTGTCTAATAAAAGCTCATCGAATCCATCAAATATTAAAATGTTCCAGACATTCTAACCTAAAACCCTCAGGCAAATCATCAAAGATCCCTTCTATATATCCAATTATACCTTACACAAAGACTTCAATGAGAATACCCCTCTTATCTTCTATGTTATAGCGATAGTATTAACTATATAGACGCCTGCTATCGATTCCCATACTAGTTTGTCAATGTAAAATTAACCTATAATAGATGATCATATTAGCGTATTATTTTGAAATGGAATATTTGGATATAATTAAATTTATCTTTTCAAAGTTAATTTATTTACACATATTTTGAGTAGTAGCTGATGATAAATTATTATGATTTATGGTTCCTCCTAGAGGGTTGTCAGTTAAACAGTAAACTATCACTTAAACTATTACTTAAACTATATAATTAATACATTTGAAAAATATATAATTGATATCAAATATAGAATTTGGTGTAGTTAAAATATTGATCAAGTAGGTATAAACGTAAATACATAAATTTATAAAACAATTTGATACCAATACAGTTATACGTATTATCTAGAAGACTTACAGTATTGGTTTTATTTCACTTTATTTGCCGGATGCTGTTGTTCATCGGAAAAACTTATGTATTTTGGAATTTCAGACTAGTCTTAATAGTACCAAAGTAACTTGAGTGGCAGCATACGTCGTTCCGCCAAAAAAGAAATATTCTCCTCAGTTTTAAACTCTAGAAAACAAAATTGTAAATTTACTTATATAAAATACATTGTATTATAATTTTCTTAAATAAAATTTAAATATATTGTCATTAATCACGGTCTACTAGTTACTAGTCTTTCTTTGAAATTAAAATTTAAAAACCAACATTTATAATTAAAAAGATTTGATACCCATCATTTTTTAAGGAATTAAATAAAGGACATTTTCGAAGTGCGTGAGTGTCGTGTAAATGTGTGTGTTGTCTAAGTGATCGTTACTCGTTAGTGTGGGCGAAGTTTCACTGAAGTGGAAATTAAATAACGGAGCATACTCGTACTTGCACAAAAGAATATAAATTATTGTATTTTTGTTTTTGTCTTAAAGTATCAATATGCTGACCGTTGTGTTATAACCTAAATATTTTTCTGAAAACATTTGAATTCGTCATTCAGTCATATCGTATTAATTGCCGTATACGAGATGTACTTGTAATCGATTTTATTACATTTTTTAAATTAATTTTAGTTTCCAAGACGAATGTTGAATATATTGGTCTAACAATGATGTGTATTTTTTTTATTTTTTTAAATCTTAAAATACTTTAACCAAATTATAATTTTTTTAATTCAGGGGGACTAATTTCATTGAAATTCATAGTTAAACATAATATCATATCATACGTCATGATGCAAAAAATTATATAGCATAATATTGTTATTAATATTATTATATATTTATACATTATTTTGTAACTATTGCAAAAGGGACAGAAAATCGATTTTTGATGTTGTCGTTAAATTTTTTTTTACATTTTTTCTTTACTTGGATAACAAAAATAACAATAGAATTTAAGAATTCATTATACTATAAAAGTGAGATATTAAATTATTTATTCATAGCTTATCATTAAGAAAATAATATTTTTAATGGAACGAAATTTCTGCTGTGAAGTATAATAGGACATCAACAAAATACGAACAGACGGCACAATTTAAAAAAATATGTATAAAAACAAATAATCCGTCTGTTTTATAATGAATTATATATAGATATTGGATAATTTATTAACTATATCGATTAATATTTTAAACTGACTAAACTGTATACTGTTTTACATGCCACATGCCACATGCTGGTACATCCGACATATCACTATTACCATTTACCACTCGATATATACTATAATTACCTATTGACGACGGTGTTTTAAAAAGTAAAAAGCATTTTTATAGTATTTATATGACGTAAAATAAGTGATTTTTTTTTCATAGTTAGTAATTACCTATAATAGTATAGTGTATACTCTATAATAGCCTCGAAGATTCGAGTTTATTTTAGTTTAGTGTAGTTACATTAGACATTTAAAAGCGTACTTATATTTTTTTTTTTTTTTTGAAAATGTAATAGGAAACGGCATTATTGCATATTAAGTACCTATTTAAGTACTTTCCTTTGTTACCGATGTCGAATATTATTAATAATACTTTTATGTTCTGAGTGAAAATAAGATGTATATGAATTAACTGGTTTTACAATTATGTATGTTCAAAGTTTAAATTTTGAAGAAAAAAATCGTCAAAGTTATAAAAATATTCAATTTCTTTCATAGTTGAAAGTTTTTAACATAATATTTATAAACATTTTTACTTATTATAGAATTAGCCCGGGGCTCTACAAAGCTTTTTCCGACGCTTATTTTGCGGCATTTTCCGTCTTCAGTATAGGCCTTCTTATAATTTAAAAACAATGTAAAAATATAAGATTGCGCTTTTATTATTTCGACGTTCGT